AGCCCAGAGAGCCATCCAGATTTTTTATCATCTTATTCTTCGTGTTCCCTTTATACCTGTTCTCCTTTTGTTTTCTTGTCAAGGCAATGGGATATCGAAGCAATGGAGGGGATCCCAGTCTGCTTACTATGGGGCAGAGACCAATCAAACAGAATAGGAGACAGGACAGTGTCTCCCTAGATGGGCTATCTTGGTGGCTCTAGGTGGCTCTCTGGGCCATCTTGCCTGCTGCAGCCTCGTATGGTATTCTTATGGGATTTCCAGTGGGTTCTTATGGGATTTCTATGGTATGTCTATGATATTTCTATGGAATTCCTATGAGATGTCTGAGGGAAATCTATGATATTCTTATGGGATTTCTTTGTGGTACCTATACTAATTCTATGTTATATCTATGATATTTTCAGATGATTCCTCCCCTCCCCTAGCTAGGCTATCTTGGTGGCTCTAGGTGGCTCTCTGGGCCATGTTATCTGCTACAGTCTCATATGTTATTCTTATATGATTTCCACTGGGTTCTTATGGGATTTCTATGGTATGTCTACCTTGTTAGTTTATACGCCTGTCCGTTGCGTTTGCAAACACTCTTCAAAGCAAAATATCAGGACGCATCAGGTAAGCATATGAGATATCCACAGAAACAAGAAAAATAGCAAGAAACAAGAACAAGAACAGAACACAAATGTAAGAAGCTCCACGACAAGAAAAAATATATCTGGGTTTGCTCTATAGGCCGTCTTGGGAGAGGTAGGGGGGGGGTCAGCCCAATGTTTTTTTTTTTCGTTTGTTTTCTGTGTGGCTCTTTCTTTCCTGTGAATTAGAAATATAATCAGAGTCAGGTGTTCCTCAAGTCTGCTTGTTAGTGACACTACAGATTCATAAGCATGAATTCCGTAGACGTAACATTGTTCCTAGCAAAGATTCATATGTAATCTGTCACGTCGTCTGTCCAGACATGTGGAAACGTGGGAACTGAGAAACGTGGGGACTGAGAAACGTGGGGACTGAGAGCGTCCCTTTCTGCTTGAAAAAGGGGAGCCCTTTCTGGGCAAAGAAAGGCAAGCCACTGGCATCAGGCCTTAAGGCCATTGTGTGGTGCAGGAGACCATGAATTCTTCAGCAACAGCTTGGGCCTTCCCCATTGGAGGAATGCATCCCCATGCTGGAATTGCGATTGCACTCAAGCTGCTGGAGAGAAGCCATACAACAAGCTCCATCCATGGGATCAGTTCACAGAGGTGGATCACTCTTGGGCCCAGGCCTTTCCTAGCAGTGAACACCCCTTGCTAACTGAGGTCCCTGGCAACAGTAGCAGGCTTGTGAGAGGAGATGCCCTGCATATCCTGTTCACAAAAGGTTTGTATGGGCACCTCCTTGGATCCATCCTGCATTATTTGTGCTGGTATGATGAAGGTGCACACCAGGCAACAAAGCCAGCAGATAGACTTGGAATCATCTTCAAAGAGGTCCAAGCAGTGTACACCGACAAAGAAGTGACATGCAGGCTCACCAATTTGGTGCTAAGCATGTTCACTGATCCAAAGAAGCCTTGGGCAAACTGGGCCAACCTGAGCTGTAAAGGTGGTGAAGGCAAGCGCCTGGCTCCATGCCTGCTGGAAGTCTTGAAAAACATCTTGGATTTCAGCAAGCCAGAGCACAGCCACATGCTCAAGTGCTTAGAGCATGTATGCCAGGTGGTGGCAATCTGGGACTCTGCAGGAACATTTCTCACAAAAGCAGAGTTCAAGAAGTCTTGGCAATTGGCACAAGATGCCATGAAAGAATACCAGTGGCTGAATGCATGGTCGGAAGATTGTGGAAGGAGTTCCTTCCACATAGTCATCAAGCGCCATACATTCCTACATCTTGCAAAAGATGCCTGGTATTTAAATCCCAGAGTCTTCTGGTGCTTCAAGGCAGAAGACTATGTGGGTCACATAAGTACTGTGACCCACAGTGTGTCCATGGGTGTGAAAGCAACCAAGATCAGCCAAAAACTGGCCATCAAGTACAGAATTTTATTACATCTTCTGTGCACAAGGCCAGGGTTTCATCTGCAAACCTCCGTTGAATAGCTTGGCTCTGCTATCCCTTGAGAAAGGGACACCCTGGCAAAAGGATTGCCCTTGCAAAAGGGCAATTGCCAAGACTAGCCCTTGAGAAAGGGTGCCCCTTGAAAAAGGGAGTTTGCCACAAGCAATCTTTGAGAAAGGATGTCCCTTGCAAAAGGGAAATTGCCAAAATCAATCCTTGAGAAAGGATGCTCCTTAATGCAAAAGGAAACCCCTTGCAAAAGGGCACTGCCACCTTAGCCCTGGAGCTCTTTGGACATCCCTTGGGAAAGGGAAAGATACCAGCACTGATCCTTGCAAAAGGATAAAACCCTTGCAAAAGGGTAAGTTGCCAGAGGCCCTTGAGAAAGGGCATCCCTGGAGAAAGGACATCCCTTGAAAAAGGGAGTGATGGAGCTAATCCTTGAGAAAGGGTCCTGATCCTTGGCAAAGGATAACACTTTGCCTTGAAATTTGTACATACAAACCTCCAAAAGAGGGGGCTGGTGCTGCAATGTTTGGGGTCCAAAAGGGAAAGGGGAGACAAGTGGAAACATTGCAAAAATATTGATTTTTATATTGATTTTTGGCTTGCTTTTCAAACCCAGCAAACAAATCAATATAAAAAAAATAACACCAAGGGCTCTGAAATCAATATTTTATATTGAAAAAACATTGAAATCAAAAGTGCTTGCCCCATATTGATTGTAATCAATATCGGATGCTCAGGGGAAGTAACCCTTCTTCTGGAATCTTTGTTTTGCGGTCGACACCATTTGCCCTGCATGTCTCACTGTTCCTGTCGATGTCCGGGTAGATGCCGAAGGCAAGGATTTGTTCACGGACACGACGCCCATATCGAGCACAATGGAACATGACCCTAAACAGGACGCTCATTCGATAGCCTGCCTCCTGTTTGTCCCATGCTCGTTTGTCATCGCTCTTTCCTCGTGGGGCTAGGAACACATGTGGGAATCTTGATGAGTCCTGTTTCCAAACGTTCTCATACTTGAGGAGGTCGTCGATCGGAACCCAACCTGCATCATCGCATTTGAGACCAAGATGGACCCTTTCCATACCGCATGATGCCTCAGGACGCGATTCAAAGCGGTGCTCACGTCCTTCTCATAGGGTTGGAGTTCATTGTTTTGTCCGAACCTGTAGTTGATGTCGATCTCGACTCCATTGTAGAACTCGTAGTTGAAGAAGGAACACCCTGTGCTTGGCACGATTTTGAGGAATCCATATGCACGGGCCTCGACTCTTTTGTACATGGGTTTGCGGAGGTTGGTGTCGGTGTACGCCGCCATGAAGTCTGGAACTTTCCAAACATCTCCACCCCCACGAATGATTGCGTCACGGATGACGTCATCGAGTTCGCTCCTGGTTCGTGGTCCTTCTTCGGTGATGTTCCTCCCACTAATGCAGAACTTTCCTGCTTCGTCCATGTCGCCCACTTCGGACATGTATAGGACGGTGTCATACCAATGGTATTCACCAGTGCGGGCTTCAGCTGGTTCTTCTTCTTCAGTGGTTTGTTGTCCAGCTTCCTCAGCACTCCCTTTCCATTCGCCACCCTCGGCCTCCATGTCCACATCAGATCCTGAGCTTTCGTCTTCCAATGACGTCCGAATGCCTTTTAGCACTTTGTTGATATCGGATTTCTTTGGATCAGTGCAATCGGCATGGTCATTACTTCCGCAGAAGATGCAGACATTCACGGACTCGGAGACGGCAAAGAAGTTTCCCAGCGCATCCAAGAGCTGTTGTTTTCCAGATCTTTCGGACTCTCTGGCGGCATCAGCAAAGTCATCTTGAGGCTCTTCTGCATCTGCCTCTCCAGGGTGGGTCGTTGACCCCAATCCCGGTTGAGCTTCCGCATCATCACCCATGTCGACGTCATCACCTGAGATGCCTTTCTTCTTGTGGAACTCTTGAATCACGGAAGCGGCTTCGAGGTCTGTCATACAGTTGAAGTCACGCAAGCTTTCGTGATGCCGTTGAGGATCCTTAGGACTTCTTCTGCCTCGGCTGGCTGAAGGGTGCAATCAAATGATCCGCGCCTCTTGTCGTTGATTGTTGAAGTGGTTCTTGAGACCGATCCAAAACCTCTGAGAGCCTTCTCCAATCCATTGAGAAAGTCAGCAGGGTCAGTGTTGACTTCGAAGACATCGACCAGGCCCATTGTCACATTGGCAACGTCAAGAACGCCCAGCCAAAATTCGATGATGTCTCCCACCTTCTCCGCGGATGCCCTCGTATGAGCAAAGATTTCGTTGGAACTGCCACCTGCTCGAAGAAATCCTTGTAGGCCACGTTTCCGCAGTCCTTTGTGCCCTGAGTCTCGAAATCTAGTGTTTTTAGGCTTCACGCGGATAGAAACCCGCGTCGTTTCGTGCATCAGAGCATTTTTTCTTGTTGCTTGGATTTTATGATTCATATTCCGCAGCCATTTGCATGTTAATTTTCCTACGTTTTCCCATATAATTTCAGCTTGCCTCATCATGCAGACAAATTTCATCTTTCAACAGTTCAAACTTCGTGTGCAGAAAAGTGAAAATCAGGCACCGCAAAATTATCAATCTATGTTTACAGAAGTGACAAGCTTTGAAGAAGTGAAGTTGTCATATACAAGAGCATCAAAGTTTCAACCTCTTGCATGACGCGCAAATGTCTTGCTTGCGGCAAAGCGGGGCATCGCTTGGAAAGCTGCAGCTCGAAAGCGGCTTAAACTGTATATATATATATATACATATAGGTGAGCCGCCGTCAAAATCAGGAACAAGAAAGAACAAGAAAAAAAGAAAAAGAAAAGGAAACAAAGGAAGACGCAATTCGAATTAAATCTAAACACACAAAGGGCATTCAGAATTAGATTTCAATCTTTTTTTTTCCGCGCACCTTTTTAGCTGCAGAGTTCAAGTCTCGCGTCCGAAGCAAGGGGCCGCGCTACGCAGGGAAGCCGAGGCGGCTGGGGCCCGCGAAGTCAGCCAGAGAGAGGATGGCCAAGGGGCAAGGGGGTGTGGCAGGCGTAGGGGGCGTGGAAGCCCATGGCGCCGAGGTGGCGCTCATCGCCACGGCACGCTGCACCGCACAGGCGAGGAGCGCCCACCAGCGCCGCTGCCACCCAGAGCACATGGCCCGGCGCACTAGGGACGGCGTGCGGCGCGATCGGGCAGTCAGCAAGATGCGCATGAGGGAGAAGCAGTCGCGGCTCCATCGCCCCCCCGTTTCGGCGCCGAGGACAAGGAGGCGTTGTGGCCCCCCGCGCAGCAATTCCGGGTAAGCCCGGTGCTTGCGACGCTCGGCGGCCTCCAGGGCCGCGCCGTCCCGGGTGGCAGAGCCGTGAGTAGGCTGCCCGCGCCGATTCAAAGGCGCGACCAGGGTGGCGTCCCCGCAGAGCGCCACCCCGTGGGGGTCAGCCCCATAGATGACGATGTCCAATCGGCGTTGATCGGAGCAAGACACGCCCGGTATGTTCGTATCCCCCAGGAGTGGCTGGGCGATGACGCGGCCTTCAGCCCCGACCGCTTCACGCGCAACCCGGAGCCAGGCCAGCTCGACGACTTTCGCACGGCGGGCTAGCAGGCCGGTGCGATGGCAAGCGGTTGCGTGGTCCCCGAAGGGGTCCGAGGGGGCGCCGCAACCATACCCCCTGTCGCCGCCGCAGTGGCGCGAGGCTAGGGGCAAGGGGAGGCGGAGGCGGCGTCGCAAGGCCACCTGCATTTCTTCGGGCGACAAGGTCGTCCCGGGATCCGTCGGGATGGCAGTGACTTGCTGGTGCTCAGCTGGGAGCAAAAGAGTAAAGTGTTAACTTGCTGGTGCTCAACTTTCATGCTTTATCTCCACAAGTGATCCAGAGAGACTTTCGAGCAGTGCTTTGCTACTAATGCATCAGGTTTGCATTGATCATTTCTTATTAATATTGATATTTTGGCTTAGGGGTCTTGGCCAGTGCAGCAGATTTTTTTGCTGTAAAAAAAAGATGTCTTGATACTTTTATCTTTTATCTCCACCTAAACTGTCAAAAGGCATTTGTATTGATCTTCATTTTGAAAATGCAAAGAAAAAATATATCCTAAATCAATTTTCCCGGTTTAAAATTTTAAGCAGGGCTGTGAACATGTACCACCATCCAGGTAGCCCGGAAGTTGAACATTGTTGTTGCTGAACATGGATATGTATGGGTATTGTTCTATCTATATATGTTCAACACCCGCAAAAAAACATTGCTGAACATGTGAACATTGTGTTTGTTGGTGCTGACAAGTACCATGAACATTGCTGGTGCTGAAAAAGTACCAGCATCCATGTAGCCCCTTTCTCATCCATGTAGTCCCTGAGTTTTAGGTAGCTGTTGGTGCTGCACAAGTACCATGAACCCTGTTGGTGCTGAAGAAGTACCAGCATCCATGCAGGCCCTCATTTTTGAAATGTTAGCTTTGCATAGGCCCTCTGGGTGATTTGTTTACGAAAAGCACGTTGTTTTTTTTTGGGGGGGGGGGACAGGGGGGGGGTTGATATGTTTTGTTAATTTTTTCACACTGAAAAAGTATCAGTACCATCATCCATGGACACCACAAGATGGCCCTGCCCTGCAAAAAAAATGGGACATCTCTTCACTCAGAGAGTTGTACCAGGATCCTTAACTTGAGAATGGCCCAGCAAAAATTGAGATAGCTCTTCACTGAGAGAGTTATGCGAGGATCCATATCTTCAGATGGCCCTGCAAAAAAATGGGATACCTCTTCACTGAGAGAGTTGTACCAGGATCCTTATCTTGAGAATGGCCCAGCACAAGTTCTGAAAAATTATGTCAGGATCCATATCTTGAGATGGCCCTGCAAGAGTTACTTGAGATATAGGAACATAGATGGCGCTGCGAAAGTTATTTGATATAATAGGGACCCCACCACTCAAAGAGTTTTATCAGGATCCATGTAGCATTTTGGATCTAGTCAGAGATAGCTGAGAGAAGTTCATTTTGAAGACGTGTCAGAGTCTCAAAAAGGAGGGGGGGGGCAGGGCGTTGCAAAAAAGTCCATCTCGCCCTAGGCCAAGCTGATTGTTCTTCTTCAGGATCAGAGTCCTCCAAAGGCAGGGGGCCAAACGGGGACAGCTATGTTGAGTCAATGGTACTTTTGCAGCACCTTGATGCAACAATCTGGCATGGTGGTGCTTCTCCAGCGCCAGCCCAGGCATTGATGGGGCCAATCACTGTTGAAGAGGTGGCGCGCTGAGTGTCCAAGTGTGAGTGTTGGTGCTGTGTAAGTACCAGCTTGTACCTCCAGTGCTGAGTAAGTACCTGGATCCATCCATACACCTACAGATGACCTAAAATAATAAGATATACCTTATACGGTGCTGCGCAAGTACGTACAGGGACCTCATTTTTTGCAGTGTTCTTCACAATGTGGCACTTCTTCAGCGCCACAACATTACTGAACCAGATTCGTGCTTAATTTTAATGTGCCATGTTGCACATAATGTGAAACAATACCGTTTCGTTTGAACAAGTACCACCGTGGTGCTGAGAAAGTGGCACTAGCAATACAAGGGTGCTTCAAAGATGATTGCTTCAAATCAAGTTCAGCTGCACTTCAAAACTACATGTTTTAAGGGTTTCTCATGTAACCCTGGCCTGCCATCAACGATCAGCATCGCTGTTCAGGAGGTCGTGGCCTTACTCGTCATGGAGGCAGGACCAATTGGGTTGGGGAGCATGAGCGGTTTCTTTTAGGACCATTGGGTGCTGAAAACATACCATGGTGGTGCTGCATCAGTACGATCTCCATGATTTTTTTCTTTATACATACATACATACATACATACATACATCATGCATGCATGCATACATACATACATACATACATACATGAATACATGATCATACATACATTACATACATGATCATACGTGCATACATACATACATGCATAGGAAATGTGGTGCTGCACAAGTACCACATGCATAGGAAATGTGGTGCTGCACAAGTACCACTTGTTTTGCTCATTCTTCTTCAGCACTGGTACTTATTCAGCACCTTCTTTCTGTTTCAGAGGTACTTCCCCAGCACCTGCTATGGAAACAACTCCAAGTTTCTTGACCCATCATGCTCGGGGCTCAGTTTACGCATAGATGATGGGCTTCAACCGAACGTTGGAACACAAGAACATCCGCACCAGAAGTTTTTGCATGTCATGTATGATCATTATTTGCCGACCGCCATCTCAAATTCGAGTATATACATCAAACTTAACTTGACTGTGCCTGCGCGTTGTGTGATTCCGTCCCTCCCAACATTTTCCCAGCGTTGCGCAGCAAGCGTGCAGCAGCTTCTCACACATGATGTGCGGCGCCGCACTTTACTTGGTGACACTGCGCTTGCGCTTGCCACTTGGAACACTTTTTCTTGTATGGGGCTGGACATCTTCCACTCGACGAGGGTTGCTCACTCCGATTGCGATCATCTTCTGGTTGTCTCCGTAAAACTTGTGGTAGACATCCTGGACGGATGTAGAATCAAGATGTTGATCATTGATGTATAAATTCATTCAGAAATGACGCATGTGAAGAAACTGCTGCAACTGATGGCTAATGACAATTCTCCTCAAGTAGCTAGCCAAAAGAATAGGAAAGAAAGCGCATAAAACTTAGTGTAGCTGGCGAGGCACACAGCAGTCAGTGAGATTGGCAAACCCCAAGGCAGCATGGCCCACATCGTCAACCATGATCTTCGCATTGTCATACTGGGTCAGTGACACCACTTCGCAATAGATGCGAGTACTTGTGCGCCAATGCATTGCCAGGGTCATTCCGACTTTCAAGCTCTTTATTTGTGATGCTCTTCTCGCTTCGATCACCTTGTCTCCACGTAGGATTGCCTCAGCATAGCATCTTTTGGTGAGAAGTGAGTAGTGCTGGGGTTCCTCCGACATGACGCAGCTGTGGGTCAGTCGAGTGGAGGCATACCAGCTTGAGCACAAATGTTATGTTTGGGCATGCGCGCATGTCAGCATGCACGCACGTGAGCTTGTGGATGTGCTTATTTCGGAGACTCGTTACTGGTACTTGTTCAGCACCACAACATCCTGGTACTTGTTCAGCACCACAACATCCTGCTGAAAAAAGTTCACGATTATCAGCCATATACATGAGAATGATATACGCACGCAAATTATCCGTATCTATTATGCAATATGTTCTGTTTTTTGCAGTTTTTGGAGAAATAGCTCAGTTTGACTTTGAAGTGTCGTGCGCCACAAGAGACAGGGACTCAGAATCAGACACGCTCGGCGTAGTAGCCGCAGACCCAAGCCTAAGCGAGCCAAATTCATGATGCCCCCCTAAGCGAGACAAACCTCTTCCCGTTCCGGTACTTGCGCAGCACCATTCCAATAATTTCTATAAACTCGCATGGATTATGGATTATTGGCTCCAATGAGTGTGGGTCAAGTGCATTGTTCTTCTTCAGGATCAGAGTCCTGCAAGGGCAGGAGGCCAAACCGGTGCTGAGTAAGTACCTGGATCCATCCATACACACCTACACATTACTTGCTGGGTGCATTGTTCTTGTCTTGCAGGGTGCTGCACAAGTACCCTGGTTTTGTTGCTCCCGGTGCTGCGCAAGTACCTAAAGGGGCCTCATCTTTTGCAGTGTTTGTCTTGCAGGGTGCTGCACAAGTACCCTGCTTTTGTTGCTCCCGGTGCTGCGCAAGTACCTACAGGGGCCTCATTTTTTGCAGTGTTTGTCTTGCAGGGTGCAGCACAAGTACCCTGCTTTTGTTGCTCCCGGTGCTGCGCAAGTACCTACAGGGGCCTCATTTTTTGCAGTGTTTCACGCTTCTGTTTCCACCGGCGAAACGGAAGCCAAAACGGAAGCGACAAACCATGGAAAAAGATGGTGGAAAAACAGCTTTCCGGCACTTTTCTCATGCTAGCACCATCCTTTTGGTTGCAGTTGAATTTTGCCTTGGAGGAAAGAGTTTTTTTATTGTCAGATTTCTGGATCATAGCCAAGAAAGGCTCATTGCATACATAGCAAAGAAAGGCTCACTGCATACATGAGTTAGTTTGCAACAACAAGTGATCTTTGGCCACAATTTCTTCTGGTCTTGCAATTGGAGTGCCCAGCCATGGTTAAAGGAATCCAAGTAAAGTGTGGGTACAAAAAGTGCAGAAAAGCAGTGGACGTTAAGAACGTTCGCGGCTCTCTTACAGCTTCCAAAGCAAAGGTGGACTTGTCATTGTGTCGTACCTTGCGATCACATTGTAAGTCTGTAAAATTTTGTTCTGAAGCCCACAGAGATTTGTGCATCACCAAGCGCCCCAAAGGGAAACGAGGCGGCCGAGAGCCTTTGACCGCTGACCAATTCGCCAAGCTATTCCTAACCCTTCAAAGCTTTGCACCGTGGGCGGCTGTGCTGAGTTTGCTTCAATTGTGCATTGGCGACAAAGCGGACTGCAGCAGGCAATGCCGCTGGTGTTGGTTCAAATCATTGGACCCTGAATCTAAGGAACCAGCCACCATCAAAATTCCAAAAGTGAATGGGAAAACAGTTCCCAGAGAGATTCCTTTGCATGAACCATTTGCAAAATTTCTGTGGCAAATAAGTCAAATCAAATGCCTGGAAGCTTCCAATGGCGGACAGTGGCCTCATCATGGACAGCAAATCGGCCCCAACAAACCTTTGCTTCCAGGCTTTGATTGTACGGGCCAGAAGAGGGTTTGGTCCAAACCAATCTCAGAAAGGGCTTACTTGCAAAACTTGGCTGCTGCCAGTGACATCCTTGGTCGTGAAGTTGCTCAAGCTACCCTGAAAGGCAAAGGCCATGTATTCACAGGCTTTGACCTCACTAAGCTTGGCACCCACAGTATGAAGAAAACAGCGGTCACACTGATGGCTGAAGCCCAAGTCTCATTTTCGATCATTTCCAAAATCACTGGCACCTCAACCGAGATGTTGCAGAAATCTTATGACGTGCCAACAGTATCCAGGCAAAGCCGTGCCATGGCATCAGCATACCAAGGTGTTCTTCCGGAAGGCCTTGGCAGCAGCCAAGATAGCACTCCTGCCAGCCGAGCAACAAGGAAATTTTGTGGAATGTGTGGGATGGCCCGTGGCGATTTGAAGCAACAGTTCTGCACACAGTGCGGGGCACGGCTGTAAATAGCTCAGGTGATGTGTGAAATGGAACAGCCTGTGAAAAGGATCTTGGGAAAGATCAGACCCAGACCTGGCACCAGTATGAAAGAAAAGTTGTGTGTGATGTACTATCAGTCTTGAAAATGGCACTGTACTGAAGCACTATTCTGGCACGACAGGCTTATCTTGCTGAGAACAACACCTTTCTTGTAGCTTTAGGCCTCCAGCATAGTAGTCCAATGCATCATGAGTCCTTTGCACAATTTGTCCTTTATTGCATCGTCTTATCAATGCATCATCATTAGTCCTTTGCAGCACAATGGCTTTATCACAAAATATCACAAACAGCTCCATGGTACTTTTGCAGCACCATGACGTTAGAACAGCACACGGACAACAAGATTTTTTCACGCATTCAATGGCTCCAATGGCCTGTATAAACAAAAGCTCAAGAAGGGTAAGGGAACCAAGAGTTGGAAGTCACTCATGCTCTGAACCCGCATGCTCTTCATAGAACACGAAAAACTTCTTCCCAAACATCTTCATCTGAGGTGGGCAGTCTTCCCGAAGAGCTCCTATCTGATGGCCACTGTACATTGGTCAGGCGCTCGGTCTTTTGGATGCCAGCCACAAATGCCATAGTTCGGTCCTGCCCATGGGCCCATGTTTCGAGGTCATAGCCTTCATCAAAGCCATGGGTGAGGATCATCGCGTAGACCTCATCTTGGCGGTCAACACTCATCCGCAGAACGAAGATGTCTGGCTCCAGTTGCGAGAGTGCCTCAAACAAAACATCTCGGGGTACTGCTGTGACCACACAGCCTGTTAGGTCAGCAACATAGCACTTGAAGCCAAACCTGGGAGGAGGCAACTCACATCGGAGTTTCCAGTGAACCACCCTGCCGCATGTGGAATTCCTGCAATTCGGATGCAGCATTTGAAATCCAGGCGAGTCCACTTCAGAGGAGAACAAGTGGACCATGTCAGGCTTCACACGACGCATGGCAGAGGCAGGAAGATCCAGCCCTGAAAAGTCCGACATGTACCAAATGGTCCTCTCCTCAACTCGCCGAACTTTGTTGCGGCTGCCCTCCATTGCAGCACTGCTGTTTGTTGGATGCATTCCACTTTTCAGAAATTTACAGTGCAATTTCAGTGCAATTTACTATATTTATGATGTGTAATGATATTTATGGTGCTTATGACTTCTGTTCCATTGTGGACACACCTGGGATAGGTACTTGTGCAGCACCATGGGCTTGGGCAAGAAAGCCAAACACGCAGCTATGCAACTATTTGCACAGGATGTTCCACACTGTTTGTCAGCAGTGTTCCACAGGATGTCCCCATGTGAAGTTGCATGTCGGCAAAGTTCATGTGAAGTTGGTTTTCAGGAATAAAAAACGCTTTGCCTCATCAGAAGGTACATGGTGCTGCGCAAGTACCAGGCATAACCTCACTTTGTGGTTTTGGTGCTGGAGAAGTACCATTGGACATCCTTGCACAGAATGAGAAACCAAAAAAACTGGCATCCACATCATTATATTCAAGAAACAGGGCCAGTACTTGTGCAGCACCGGGCAGGAAAAAATAAGGTACTTGTGCAGCACCCAAAGAAGCTTCGAAGCTGCTACTCTCTGATATGGCACTAGAGAAACATCTGGCATTTCCGCAGTGCCAAGACTTCACCTTTTTCTTTGCTCTTTCGAAGCTCTAAGTCTCCTAATCGGAATCCATCTAAGGGACAGCTGTTGCCTGCTGCTATCCCATCCCCTACTAAATGGGGAGCGATTTGGAGCACCACACCCTCACTGATGATTCTCAGCCGATGCGACTTTCTGCTTGAGATCCTCAATCTCTTTGGTCAGGGCAGCCTCCTTCTCCTTTAGCTCCTGTTTCTCATTTTCGAGCTCTGCCTGCACTTCACGTTCTGACAGGATGTCCTGCTCCACCTTTTCCAGGTTCTCTGTCACCTCAGCTTCAGCCTTCAGCTGACCCTCGGTTCGGCGGTCTCGCCAGGCATAGCGTTTGTCCTCCATGGCTGCACGGCTGTTGGATATGTAATGTGTTATGAAATGATATGAAATGATATGAAATGATATGAAATGATATGAAATGATATGAAATGATTCCAAAAGTACAAAATCAGCATGTTTTCCCTGCGACATTTCCACCTGTAACCAGCCACATGTATTGCATTAACATGCGCTTTCTTGTTTGTATCCTTAGCAATCTTCAGTGTGAATTGGAGCGTGGCTTTTCGAATGTTGAGTTTTGCATGGCCTATCTCACCAGCTTGCTTGAGACAAAACACTGAGCATGGCATCTCTGATTTATGTTATCAAAGGTACTTGTACAGCACCATGGCAATCACACTTTGCTGAGTACTGAATCACTGAGACAGCTTCTTAACTTGAGGCCCCTGCGCATCACATTCAATGATGGCCTCATGAGGCATCACAACAGAAACATGTAAAAAAAATGAAAAATATAGGTCGGTCTCCATGAAATCACATTAGTATATATATATATATAAGCAACAAAGCCGGTACTTGTGCAGCACCCGGCAGGAAAAAATAAGGTACTTGTGCAGCACCCAGAGAAGTTTTGAAGCTGCTGCTCTCTGATATGGCACTAGAACATCTGGCATTTCCGCAGTGCCAATTCTGCTTCACCTTTTTCTTCCTCCCGTGCCCGTCTGTGCTGGGCAGTCAGTGTCTTTGCTCTTTCGAAGCTCTAAGACTCTAAGTCTCCTTATCGAAATCCCTCTATTAGGGATAGCTGACAGTGCCTGAGCGCCTGTCTGGCTGTGCTGGGCTCTAAATCCCTCTATTAGGGACCGAAGATTGCCATGCCACTCAGTCGCTGCATCAGCTCTTGCCTGCTGCTTTCCAGACCCACAGTATCTGTATCCAAATCCCCTACGAAATGGGGAGCGATTTGGAGCTATGATCGGAGTTTCCCAAGCAAATGGTAGATATTACACATGGTTATTTGATATCACAAAAAATGATTGTATAAAGGTTTCATGATTGATTTATGTTGATTTTATAGATGCTTAATGATGCCACGCCCACATCTTGCCACATGATGGGATATATATATATATATACATACATACATACATATATCATATGTATAGTTGATTATATTTATATATACTTTATTATATTTTCAAAAAAAACATATTTACAATAGACATGATATTCATAACAGGTCATACATATATGATCTGTTTAAAGGTGTTGATGTGCATATGCGTGTCAAAGTGTGTCACACATTACACAGGCCTGGCTGACTACTTCTTGGCCACCTTCGGTGCCTTTTTGGGCGCCACGCCCTCGCTGGAGCCTGCAGCACACACAGATGAAAGATTGAATTCATATTTGTCAGACCCAGCCTTCTCTTTTCACACCAGCTGCATGGGCAGAGGGCCCTGACATCTGCTTGCTCTCGGCCACACCAGGTCCTATCATGGTCCCCGGCACAAGCAAACACGTCATCTGAAATAAAGTCGGTACTTGTTCAGCACCCTCCAAAAAAGCATTGTTCACTTGGCATTCTGCCCAGCCTTCAGAGGAACTTTCAGAAGAGCTCGAGGAACCACTGGAGTCACTGCGGCTACTTTCGAGGTGCTGCAGCTTTTGCATGAGTGTGGCCTTCTTCAGTTCGCGCTGCTCGACCCTGTCTCGCAGTGCCTCCACCTCCTCCTTCTTCACCAGTGTCTCCTCACGGAGAGCCATCAACTCCTGGTTCTTCCTCTCGATCCTCTTAGCACCTTCTCGCTGAACTTGAGCCGGGGTGCGCCGATGCCCGCGCTTGTCCGGCATCCCTTTGTGCGTCCACCCAAGCAAGCGCCCACCCTTTGTGCGTCTCCTGAACGTCAGCCGGTGCTGATGTCCACCCACAAGTATTCTTCTCGCCGGTTGGTCTGGTGATGCTAATGAAACACAAGGGCGAGGTGCAAAGCCATGGTCTTCGAAACATTGGGCCAAAAAATCGCAGAGTGTGTACAGTAATCACAGAGCCTGTGAAATGGCACACTTCCAACTAGAGTCACACAATTTCAGTCAGGGAATTTCATTCAGCACCAAAACAGACCGAAAGGTACTTGCACAGCACCTTGATTTCATGTAAGGCACAGTCCATGAAGGCTCAAGCACATCTACCTGTAATAGCACCCAACATAGCACCCAAAATAGCTCAGGAATCGACCGGATTGAGTTCAGGAATCGACCGGATCATCACCGTGATCAACCTTGGAACAGATGACACTGTCACTAGGGGTGGGTTTTCGAATGTTGAGTTTTGCATGGCCTATCTCACCAGCTTGCTTGAGACAATACACTGAGATACACTGAGCATGGCATCTCTGATTTATGTTATCAAAGGTACTTGTACAGCACCATGGCAATCACACTTTGCTGAGTACTGAATCACTGAGACAGCTTCTTAACTTGAGGCCCCTGCGCATCACATTCAATGATGGCCTCATGAGGCATCACAACAGAAACATGTAAAAAAAATGAAAAATATAGGTCGGTCTCCATGAAATCACATTAGTATATATATATAAGCAACAAAGCCGGTACTTGTGCAGCACCCGGCAGGAAAAAATAAGGTACTTGTGCAGCACCCAAAGAAGCTTCGAAGCTGCTACTCTCTGATATGGCACTAGAGAAACATCTGGCATTTCAGCAGCGCCAAGACAGGATCGCAACCAGCACAAGGCTGCCATCTTTTTCACCAGGTAGGCCATGGCTGCAGCTGTGCTGTCACATTTGCAATTCTTTAATGCACCTTCCCACAAGCAATCAGAACCATCTTGATCACTCGCGCCAGCAGTGGTACCGGCACAGCATTTCCAGCTGCTCGGCGTAGCTGGCGTTCTGACATATGGTGCCAGTAATCACCAATCCTTTCGAGACTGATGCCTTGAAGGCTGAGAATCTCGCGGGTTGTCATCTTACGCTCAAGCCAGGAGAGCCAATGGCCTGAAGAGCCAGCTCGGGTCACTGTCAAGCATGGACTTACACCCCACATAGCGTGAGGCACGCTGCCCGAAATGTCACAAACATACTCCTCGTGTCCGAGAATCCAGCCCTGTTTTGCGACATTGGCAGCAAGCTTCTGCACATTATTCTTCTCCGTGTTGTTCAGGGAATCCATGCCCAGCTCTTCTTGATGCTGGATGTTTTCCTTAAAGTAGTTTCGTAAAGGAAGCATGGCCACATCCCCTGGCCAGACAAACGGCCTAAGCAATGAAGCTTTGCGAACCCCGCAGATGAAAATGCGCTCCCGATGTTGCGGCAGCCAACCAACCGCAGAATTCTCCAGCACTTTCCATTCCACGTGGTATATATTCATGACGGTCAGGATGCTAATAATCATGTCCAAAGTCTCTTTGTGTTGTTGAGCAAAATTGCCCACATTCTCCAAAATGAAGCACAAGGGCTTGTGAAGCCACAGCCACCGCAGGATCCAGAAAATCACATGACCGCGTGGGTCCAGGATGCCATGGTTGTTTCCTGCTTTGCTGAAAGGCTGGCACGGAAAACCTGCTACAAATAAGTCACAGCTTGGAGAAGCTAAGAATTCCTCTGTGCAGCAATCTGAAAAGACATTGCAATGGCCATGCATTGCATGGTTCAAATTCAGCAACTTGTGATCGATTTCACACGCCACGCAACTCACAAACGATACCCTTAACATCTCCAAGGCCAGAAGTTCTGCGCTCAAGCCACTGCAGCAGCTGCCAACACGGAGTCCACTACTGTCAGTGTGCCTGGAGCAGCTGGAGCACCATGAAGATCTTGACGAGGCAGGCGCCATGATCCACTGAAGCAACATCACCATCACATCTTTTCTGACTCTTTCTTGGCTCTTTCCGGACTCTTTCCGGATTGTTTTTTGAACGCCCGGCATCAAGTCACAGCGGTGGCCGATTCTAAACACACACCATAAACTTGCAGCTATCTGCAGTGTGATATGTGATGCGTGTGATGTGATATGGTGATTCAGGCACTGCAACTTCTGATATGAGAAGCCAAATCTATTGCGCTAACATGTATTTTCTTGTTTGTATCCTTAGCAATCTCAGGAGGGCTTATCCGGTGTGAATTGGACCTTGGTTTTTCGAATGTTGAGTTTTGCATGGCCTATCTCACCAGCTTGCTTGAGACAACACACTGAGCGTGGCATTTCTGATATATGTCATCAAAGGTACTTGCACAGCACCATGTCAATCACACTTTGCTGAGTACTGAATCACTGAGACAGCTTCTTAAATTGAGGCCCCTGCGGCCCCTGCGCATCACATCGATCGCCTGGCATCACAACAGCAAAGACCAAATGGCACAGCAGCTGAAACATGGCTCAGTGACCCGGAATCCACATCTTTTATTCAAGAAACAAGGCCGGTGCTTGTGCAGCACCCGGCAGGAACAAAAAAAAGGTACTTGTGCAGCACCCAAAGAAGCTTCGAAGCTGCTACTCTCTGATACGGCACTAGTCACTAGAGAAACATCTGGCATTTTCCGCAGTGCCAATTCTGCTTCACCTTTTTCTTCCTCCCGTGCCCGTCTGTGCTGGGCAGTGTCTTTGCTCTTTCGAAGCTCTAAGTCTCTTAATCGGAATCCCTCTATTAGGGATAGCTGACAGTGCCTGAGCGCTGGCCTTGCTGCCCGATTCCGAAACAGAACAAACACTATACATTAATAGGTCATTTTGTTTTTCATTTTTCAATATGCACATCAATGAAATGAAATTGAAATGAACTTTCCTCCAGGGACATGGCTGCAGCTGGGTCGTCACTCATTTCATAAAGGTTCAAATTTTGAGCGTGGGCTGCCCGATTCCAATATCAATGCAACAAGTTGGCAACAACTGATTTGGGATTTTGCTATTGGTAGGGACATGTCATGTCTGCAGTTTGTAGCCCAATCGGCTCTCGCTGGATTTCCAGCAGAGCTTTCCCTCAAAATGGTTCAAGCGCGCTCAGGGTATCAGATCATCTTCACTGATTGCCAAGGGAAGCCAATGCCTGCATGATCGAAGCCTCCGTATTGCCCTTGCCGCCCTTGCCGCCCTTGCTGCCCTTGCCAGGCTTTCCTCCTCCTTTGGTTCCTTGGCCAGGCTCTTCTGGTTCTGGGTCCTCACCGTCTCCTTTGCCGTCTCCCTTTTTGGTTCCCTTTTTGCCTCCCTTTTTGCCTCCCTTTTTGCCTTTGCCTCCTTTGGCTCCTTTGACTCCTTGAGTGCCCTGGGCATCCACCAGCTTGTGCAGATTGACATCATACAGCTCAGACTCAGGAGTAAGGAACTCCTTCCAGCAAGCACGGACCACTTCAGCTTCCAGCACCTCGCAAGCATACTCAGAGAGGCATGAGCCTATATATGGAACTTTCGATTTCAAGCATGCCAAAGCGAAGTTCACATCCATGCAGGTGCTATCATAGACACCACCCAGCTCGAAGGAGTGGATCATTTCAATGTAGAATGCGGTCGGAAGGGAGTAGAAGCTGGCAGGCAACATGTCCTCGATGTCTCCAGGAAGAGAACCTTGACCTTGACAAGGACCTCCTGCCAGCACCTTCCCGTTTTCCCCCAGCATCTTCTCCTTGCATTCCTTGCTCACCAGGAACCCGCCACGGAAGGGAGACACAACCACCGGTCCAATCAAGGAACCATGTGTGGAGCCTACATAGGTCTTTCTCTCCCGGTCTGTCAAAGCCAAGCCCTCTTTGCTGTAGACATGCAGCCCTTCCACCTGGGACACCATGCCACGGGTAAGGCATTTTCTGGTTCTGAGAGCCTTTTCGTCATATGCCACCTGAAAGGTATTGCGGGATTTCATCATCACGTCACCACTGGGCAGCACCAAATCCTTGGAGAATTGGGCTTCCAAAGAACGAAACCCATCCATGCACATCACCAATGTCTCCTCAGTGATCTCTGTCTCACCACGGGCCTGGAAAGCTGCATGAACATGCTTCTTGAACGTTGCCTTCTGGTATGGAGGACAGCGGCAGTGTGGCTGTGCAGATGATTCACCTTGAGTTTTGGTGTCATACCACACGCACCAATATTTCCCACGCACGGGAAACTTCTGCAGCACAGTGCCTTCCAGCAACTGTTGTGTCTTCAGAACCGACTGCTCAAATGGCCTGAACGTGATGAAGCGCCCAGCATACTCTTTCACTGCTCGCAGGTGTTCTTGAAGTTCTTTGGCGTTCTCCTCATCCTCTAGGAGCTCACTGTCCACCAAGCTTTCCAAAGAAACCTTCGTCTCTGGATCCTCGTCATCATCAGCAGCCAACACAGATTCCTTCACTTTGCCTGGGCTGATCTCTGCCTCTAGCTTGAGCAAGATTTCGGAAACAAGGTCAGCAACTTTTTGGGACAGCATGACGTCCTCAATGTTGGTGCCTCCTTTCAAAATTGTTTTGAAATGCGGGTCCGGCGTCTTGCCAAACACTGCAACCTTCAGGAACTGCACCACTAAGATTTCTGCATCTGTGTACTCGCCCTGCCATGACAAGTCAACTTCCTTGCCTTCACTTCCGCAGAAGGATCTGAAGATGTTGTGGTTGGTCAAGTTCAACTTCACCATGTCTTTGAATGATTCTCTTGGAAACTTGCACAGGACGTTGGTCACAAAGTATTCCATGACTTCCTTCTTCGTGAGAAACAATTGGATGTATCCAACAGATCCTGAAGCACCTTTGAGCTGTCGGAAGGTAAAGTTTGTGGGCCCAAACTCATCCGGCATGTGGTGCAGGTAGTCCACCATGCTCTTCATGATCCACAACATATTCTCAGCGGTCTTGCCCTTCATGGTGATCTGCTCCAAAGAACTCAACTGGTTGAAGGGCGACGCTTTGCCATGGAGCTTGGCATCCTGCAAAGCAGTTCAAGACTGTTCAAGACATTGCTTGACCTATCCATTGGCAAAAGGGTACTTCTACAGCACCCATGAAAGAAAAGGGTACTTCTACAGCACCCATGGATAGGACATGATATACAATGATATATATATATATACAACAATATTATGAGCTGCAAATTTCTGGTGGTTGATGATTGTTGGGCTGGTTTCGTGGGATTTTACATGTTTGACACATCAACATATGGGAATGATAGGGCCTAACAATCATACATTTTACATGTTAAATAAGCTTACAATGGCAAACAAAATATTTCTACAGCACCCATGGCAGAAAAGGGTACTTCTACAGCACCCATGGCAGAACACGGCGGCCAACAATCCTCCATTATGATGTCCAAACTCTCTGGCGCAGCAGTGAACAGCCTGTGGTACACCTTCATCGCGGTATCCACGAAATTTTCAGTCACACGATCACTGAACTTGGAATCAGTCTGGATCACGTGCTCCTTCCACGCAGAAGCGAGCTCTTTGTTGGAGAGATCCCTGTTGGCCGTGGTCTTGATCAGTGATCTGTAGCCGACAAGTTCATACACTCGCTGTGTGACATCGCGGGCGAGGGACTCAAAGTCTGAGACCACCATCTCGCGGAGGTTCACAGCACGCCAGTAGGCCTCCTCTGCAGTTCCCAAGGTTTCGAAGATGAAGGTGCAGCAAAGGCACAGCTTCCGCCACCCTTGCAGCTCATCCTCGTCTGCCTCTCCAAGACGCTCATGGATCCGAAGCACCAGTGCATGGACGAGCTCTGGTGGGCTCACAAACTCGAGTGCCCCGAACCTCCTCATGATGGATTCTCCTGTGGCCTGATCAGGAGCTCGTACCACAAACTGGTCAAGCAATGTCTGTGGAGTTGCAAATTTCGTCTCCATAATCACATTGATGGAACGCTCGCTGATGGGAACACCTGGCTGCGAAAGATGAGTGAGCTTCAGCCAGAAAAGGTTTGCAGAGCAGTCATACTTGCCGCTGGAGCTCAATGTTGTAGTTGCATGCTTCGCACTGAAGGACACCTGTCCACACAAAATGCTCTTACGCTCTCTAACCGGACCCCACCTTCAAATGCTGTCAGGACATCGAAGCCAGTAGTGAAATTTACCCAGAGCAGGCATCAGTCGGGGACGTCCCCGACTGCTGAGGGGATAGGGTAGGATATGCTTCTAAGCCAGTTGAGAGGATGGGGTTTGCTTACCTATGAGCCTCACCCTGCGTGACATATGTTGGCACCCTATGCCCTCAGCAGTCGGGGACGTCCCCGACTGATGGGTGAAGGAGGTTAAAAACACATCTTTGCTCGAGTTAAGGATTGAAAACGTTATCCCTCTGGGCCTTGTGATTGCCCTCTTCCATCTTCAATGGTGAAGCAGAAAGCATGTCTGCAAAGATTGGGTGCTGAAGGATCTCATCTCTGGCTTTGGTCACAGCAGTAATTCGTTGCAGATTGACCGAGTGGATCAACTCCGTGGGCTCAAACTTCACGGCCACAGGCTGGAACAATTTGGCCTGCTTCGATGCGGATGCCGGTGCCGACTCTGGGGATCTCTTCCTCGAAGCCATGATGACCAATCGAGGATCGTAGAGGGCCAACGAATGCAAGTCCAATAAATGCTGAAAGCGGCTGCGTTTGGAATGTTCACATTTCGACAACAACAGAAAAAGTCCGTTATTAAATGTGAAGTCTGTAGGTGCACAGTAGAAATGCATCACATACGACAGTAGTACCCGGGCACTGTCCAGACAAAAAGTTCCTTCCACACAAATGTCCCTTGCCTTCACATTGTTTAGTGCAACACGGTGTCCCAACCTCAACAGGGAAGCACCAAGGCTTTGCTCTCTCGGCTCGGGCTTGGTGCTGACTGCATGTCTATATGTTTAGCCTTATTATGTCAAGGTTGTGGGGAGAAAAGCAAGAAAACTTTCGAGATGGTCAGAAAAAAAATCTGCATCTTGTCATTAGGGTACTTGTGCAGCACCCAAAAAGGCTTGATAATACAATACAATGCAATACAATACAATACAGTACAATAGAATATAATATAATATCGATAATATAATATAATATAATATAACATAATATAATTTAATATAACATAATATAGTACAAAATCACAAAATACAGTAAACAATAATATAATACAAAAAATATAATATAACATAACATAATATGAGGCCTTGGTGAGACCTTGAGAAATCTCATTTTTTAAAAATATTTAGACATATTTTGACAAAAAACAAAATATAAAAAAATTAAATGTCACATCGATACATTGAAAATGAACCACTGAATGTCTTAAACCTGATTGTGGACAGAACTTATGGATAGAAATCTCATTTTAAAAAAAAATGAAAAAATGAAAAAATGAATTTCATTTCAATGCCTTGAAAATGAACCACTGAATGTTTTAAACCCGATTGTGGACATAATTTATGGATAGAAGTGTCATTTTTGAACCAAATTTCGACCCAAAAAAATCAAAAAAAAATGTTTTAAATTTCATTCCAATACCTTGAGCATGAACCACTGAATGTCTTAAACCTGATTGTGGACAGAACTTATGGATAGAAATCTCATTTAAAAAATATTTTGAAAAAAAACAAAATTGAAAAAAAAAATGAATTTCATTTCAATGCCTTATTGTGAAAATGACACTTCTATCCATAAATTATGTCCACAATCAGGTTTAAAACATTCAGTGGTTCGTTTTCAAGGCATTGAAATGAAATTCATTTTTTTTTCAATTTTGTTTTTTTTCAAAATATTTTTTTAAATGAGATTTCTATCCATAAGTTCTGTCCACAATCAGGTTTAAGACATTCAGTGGTTCTCAAGGTATTGGAATGAAATTTAAAACATTTTTTTTTGATTTTTTTTGGTCGAAATTTGGTTCAAAAATGACACTTCTATCCATAAATTATGTCCACAATCAGGTTTAAAACATTCAGTGGTTCATTTTCAAGGCATTGAAATTCATTTTTTTTTCAATTTTGTTTTTTTTCAAAATATTTTTTTAAATGAGATTTCTATCCATAAGTTCTGTCCACAATCAGGTTTAAGACATTCAGTGGTTCATTTTCAAGGTATCGATGTGACATTTAAAATATTTTGGCTAGGTGAGGGTCTCAAAAGTGATAAGCTACATGGATTCTGGTACTTTTTCAGCACCAACAGGGTTCATGGTACTTGTGCAGCACCAACAGCTACCTAAAACTCAGGGACTACATGGCGGATGAGGAAGGGTCCGCACGGATGCTGGTACTTTTTCAGCACCAGCAATGTTCGTGGTACTTGTTCAGCACCAACAAACACAATGTTCACATGTTCAGCAATGTTTTTTGTGGGTGTTGAACATATAATAGATAGAACATCCATATGCAGCCAGTGCTGAGGCCACCGGTCCATGAATGTTGACGAGCTTTCAATGCATAGACCTCACGAAAAGGCAACTTCAAAGGACCCATGCACTCTCACAGTCCCGACTATGTGGCATCACATGATTTTTTTTACATTGAACATGATCCATTCCTCCCTGTCAGCTCATCCATTCCTTTTTTATCTCTCTCAAAGGCCTTGCTGCATGGTTTTGCATCTGGCCATTCCGGGTCCACGATTGTGGAAATGATGAGCAGGTGTCCATCTACCTGCCATTCCACTACCTGCCATTCGGCAGGTGGCCATAGGTGACTTCTATGGCAAAAGGCCTTGCTGGCCATTCCGGGTCCACATTTGTGGAAAATGATCAGCACGGAGAGCTAGTACTCCTCCAGCCAATTGAGAGCCGACGACCCTCCAGCTCCTGGGAGAACAGCTCCTCCTTGCTCCTCCAGCCAATTGAGAGCAGACGACCCTCCAGCTCCTCCAGCTCCGCCGATTTCTCCTGGGAGAACAGCTCCTCCGTCTCTGCCATTTTCTCCTGGGAGAACAGCTCCTGGGGGCGGGTCCAAGGTCTCAGGGATCGTCCCATGGGCAAGATGGCCAGGTGCTTCTGCATCTGGCAGCCGCGGGATGTTCTCGTCCATGACCATGACCCAGTCCATCTCTCTGACCAGGACCCACTCATTCTCATCCTCCAGGCTCGTTGCCATGTTGATCTCGAACATGCCCTTCAACGTCAGAGTTCGACGGCCAATTGTGTCTGTTAAGCCTAAGTTTTGATGCGCTGGACAATGAGAATTTCACAGACAATGGGCGAAACAGTACATGTTACAAGAAGCTGAACTCAAAACAAACCTGAAAGCTTCACTGCCCACCCTAAGTGCAAGGTGAAACAGCACATGTTACAAGAAGCTGAACTCAAAACAAACCTGAAAGCTTCACTGCCCACCCTAAGTGCAAGAAACTTTGGCCATTTCCAATGAACATGTGATCTCGCCAGTACGGGCGGTATCCCGTGCAGTGGAAGCCTTGTAGGAACAGACTGACACGATTGCCATTGGCATTGTCTTCCTCAAACTGTTGAATTCGATACGAGCCATGCGCAGGAGACCATGCCAAGCGCCCACCCTTTGTGCGTCTCCTGAACATCAGCTTGCCGGTGCTGATGTCCACCAGCAAGTACTCCTCTCGCCGGTTCGTCTGGTGATGCCGCCAGTGGAACACAAGGGCGAGGTGCAACGCCATGGTCTCCGAGACTGTGGGCCAAAAAAATCTCAGAGTGTGTACAGTAATCTCAGAACCGAAAGGTACTTGCACAGCACCTTGATTTCATGTAAGGCACAGTCCATGAAGGCTCAAGCACATCTACCTGTAATAGCCCCCAACATAGCACCCAAAATAGCTCAGGAATCGACCGGATTGAGTTCAGGAATCGACCGGATCATCACCGTGATCAACCTTGGAACAGATGACACTGTCACTAGGGGTGGGTTTTCGAATGTTGAGTTTTGCATGGCCTATCTCACCAGCTTGCTTAAGACAATACACTGAGATACACTGAGCATGGCATCTCTGATATATGTCATCAAAGGTACTTGTACAGCACCGTGGCAATCACACTTTGCTGAGTACTGAATCACTGAGACAGCTTCTTAACTTGAGGCCCCTGCGCATCACATTCAATGATGGCCTCATTAGGCAGCACAACAGAAACATGTAAAAAGATTCAAAAAATATAGGTCGGTCTCCCTGAAATCACATTAGTATATATATATAAGCAACAAAGCCGGTACTTGTGCAGCACCCGGCAGGAAAAAATAAGGTACTTGTGCAGCACCCAGAGAAGTTTTGAAGCTGCTACTCTCTGATATGGCACTAGAGAAACATCTGGCACTTCTGCAGCGCCCAGGACACCACGCGGCAATCTTTTGTCACTCTGCGTTCCCCTACAGATGTCCCAATGTGCAAGCACTCAGTTCACATACCACAAATACCTCTTTGGGTACAAGACACCCGGGCTGTTGACTTCAGGAATTGCTCTTTGGATAGCACATTTTTGCGGTTCAAGTGACTAGCTACAGTTTCAGTAGTCAACGCCAGGATTTCCATGTCTCGCCTCTGTTTGACAGGTAAATGCTCACCAGCAACCTTGTCAGTGGCCGAAGCGAACTCTGCCCAAGTTGAAAGCAGCTTCCATTTAGATTGCGGCATGTGTGACACTCTCCTCACTGCCTCTGAAAGAACAGGGTCATGTTGTGCAACTTGCGGATCGACAAAGATGGATCTCTTTGTTGCAATGGCCATCCCATAGCTAAAGCACACGCCCTTGCCCCGCTTCAAGGCAAAATCCAATGTCACAACATGCCCTCCCTTCAGCGCGGTGTTCCACAAAACCACATCTGGAGGGCTTCCTGGATCTTCAACGACACAAACATCAGCACGCCATGGGTCAGCCACCAAAGTCAAAGTCTGAGGAAAATTTGGCAAATTTTGCCACTCCATTCTCTCCAAGAAGAACTTGTGGAACGCAAAGTCCACCGCCGGTGGGAGAGGGCTCATGAGCTGAAGCATTCGGGCTTCATCGGCCTTACGCTTCTGCAAATTGTTTTGTTGGTTTGAAACGAAGTGTGCCACTTGATCACGCAATCCTGGGGGTACTTCATTTGCCAGAAGCACCCGTTCCAAGTATGCCTCCATTTGGTTCTTCATCTGCTTGGATCGCTGAAAACCAAACTCGGCATCAATCTTTGCCTGATCCTCCTCTGTGCGATCCACTTGTTCCTGCCATTCACTTGCAGCTTTCACCTGAGATCATCTGAAGTGGGCTAGTGACAAAAAGCATTTGTTCAGTGCTATGATTTAGAGGTACAGTACTTGTTCAGAACCAAAACTAACTAAAGATCGGCTGCAGATCAGTCTGAGTGACTGTATCCCTTGATACCAGAGCCGCGTTCTCACCCACATGCTGACGGCGCTTTCTGACCCACTGCGCCTCACTTTCAGGTTGCCTTTTCCTTGGAATCCCTGCATCCAATCGGTTGCAGCAAGAGTTTCTCGGGGGTCCACGGACTTTGCGCCAAGTCTTGCGCAACCTTGCAAACTTCTTTCAAATCATTTTCGGAGCAATCGATGACCACCTTGGCTTCTGCCAAGTAGGTTGCGGGATCCATGTGGTCTCTGGCAGGAGTGATTTGATTCTGCAGCTTGCTGAAATTCTGCTCAACACCACTAGTCGAGCAACCATGGAAGGCAAGATATCGCATGATGACCAATCGAAGCGTGTCACTCGGATGAGCCTCAGTCATACATACTCCTTTGACCGGCCTTCCCCACCACCAGAAAAACATCTTCGACCGACCTTCCCCACAACCAGAAAAAATGCTGCGTGATCACCAAGAAGCCTTTGAGACACTGGATCTACAGGATGTCTTCTGGATAGCTGAAGACCATGCAGTTTGATTGTCCAGTTTGCGGGCTCTGGCTTCATTGATGGCAATGGGCAAATGGTCCCAGTACTGGCTGACAAACGCATCAATATTCAACCCAAAGACTTGACAAAGCCTAGAGCCATGTTCTCTCACAGTGTCAGCATCAAACTCCACAGCATGTCCCTGCACCCTTTGCTGCACGTCAAACAACTTGAACGCCCCAAGTAGCTCGAAGTATGGAAACTCCGTGTTCACCACTTCCACCGCCAGTGAAACATATGCCCTCATGCTTGCCAGGCATTGAGTCAGCATCACTTGATTTACCTTCCCAGGCCCTCCAAGACTTTTTGCTTCGCCCTTCAAAAGAAATCCTCGGGCCTGATGCAGCTGCACCAGGATGTGTTGGGTGTAGCCTTCTGCACGGAGGACCGCCCCTTGGTTGAAGAGATAATGCAACTCACTCAGAAACTGCTCAGCCTGCAAATGCAACACGGCCGGATCATGGTCTTCGCTATCAAAGCTTCGAACAAGGCCCAGGGCAGCATCTGCGCAATCTGCACACATTCCGAGCAGAATAAGCCTCTCTTCATTCACCCATGTAAGGAATGCATCCGCGCATTTGCCATCTTCTTCCCCTCTCCTGTGAATGGTTGCCCAAATAGCTGTTTGGAACAATGCTTCGAGAAACAGAATTCCACGTCCCAAGGGCTTTGACACTGAGTCAAAGCGTTGTTTCTTGAAGGACAAGTTGCGAATCCTCTTGGCAGACACTGGGCTTGATTCAATGGTTTGGCAAAACTCATGAAACTTCACAGAGAGGACGCCCGATTTTTGGATCATGCGGACCACACTGGAACTGTCTCCCACAAACATCGACCATGCTTCAGAGAGCTCTGGAATCACATTCCATGGCCTGGAGAGGACCCTGCGAGATGCATGTGCTTTGTCCTTGAGGATAATTTTGACGTCTTTGAGCTACATGGCTCGAATTTCTCTGGCACTGGTTTGCTCATCACTGGCAGCATCCGCATCTAGCACCTCAATGTGCTTCAAAACACTTTTGTAGAGGTCCTCGTCTTGCTGGCAGAATTCCCTGAGCATCTGTTGCAGTGCAGCTGCAAGCACGGTTGATGTAGTTCCTGAGCAATTTCAACACCAAAACAAAACATAAGAAACATAAGGCTAGGTGAGGGTCTCAAAAGTGATAAGCTACATGGATTCTGGTACTTTTTCAGCACCAACAGGGTTCATGGTACTTGTGCAGCACCAACAAGTACTTAAAACTGAGGGACTACATGGATGAGGGTGGGGCTACATGCATGCTGGTACTTTTTCAGCACCAACAGGGTTGAACTGGATGTATCCTGGATGAATGGTTCATGGTACTTGCGCAGCACCAATAACTACCTAAAACTGAGGGGCTACCCCATGTTAAAACAAAAAAAAAGGTCATTGAGAGTCTCATGTTGATGCCGAGTCTCTCTCCAAATCCTTGATGCCCAAAATCCCTCGTCGGATTTGCAGCTTCTGATTTGCAGCACGAAAGCGAACCAAGAGCTTGAGTTGCCTGACATCTGTATGCAGTGTGATTGTCTCAGCAGTGGCTATGAAACGTCTGTCCAACTCAAACACTGCATCACCCAAACACTGCACCATATGAGTGATCTTCTTGCGGCCACCAACACCAGCTTCTCCATGTCTGAGGGCTGAAGGGCCTTTCATTCGACCCCTGGCCACCTGCTCAAACGCACTCATGCTTGGAGCATCTTCGTCCGCAGTGACCTCAATCAGCCCCAGCTGCGCCAAAGCTTGCTGGTGCTGCTTGCACTCCGAGTGCCGCTTCATGTTGCTGAAGTTGCCTGTGATCACATCATAGTTGCCGTACTCGTTGTCTTGCTTTGTCATCTTGCAAATGACACAACCAACTCGACCTTCATCAGAGACCGAAAGCCAACTCATATTTAGCACAGGGATTTGGGTTTGCTTTTCCCACTTCCATCGATTCCTCTCCCACAACCTCCAAAGATCGACCTGCTCTGTAGTTGGCTCCCATTGCTGCTCTGTAGTTGGCTCCCATGTCTTTGTCGATGAAAAGGCCTTGGGTGTTGTTGTGGACGAAGAGAGCCTTGGTGGCTTTGACATTGCTGTGGAGGATCCATCCAGCCTTGTTGCAAACCCAGGAATCATGGCAGCTGCTTCCCAAGCCCAAACTATAAGGTCAATCTGACTCCGACTGAAAAACGGTTCAATGGCTGGATCTCCTCTTGCAGAATCCATAATCAAATATGTTCTGTAAGACTGATATGATGGATTGATATTTGGCCTGTTCCAGACCCAAGATCTATCTGACTCTGACTGAAACGGTTCAATGGCTGGATCTCCTCTCATAGAATCCATAATCAAATATGTTCTGTAAGACTGATATGACGGATGGAGATTTGACCACTGGTCAGCCCAAAATGGCTGCAGTCCACACATGCACTGATGAAATCGTCATACTGCAAGCACGTCTAAAGAACTGAAGAAGTCTTGTCGTACTGCCGAGATTGTTACAGATCTGAAGAAGTCTTTTCGTGCTCCTCGCTGCAACCTGGCTATGTGAATACTATAACGGCCAGAAAGACAAACCCAGACAGCAACACACACAGAGCAAATCACAGTACTTCTTCAGCACTGTTTGCATAATGGTACTTATTCAGCACCACAGCACCACATCACAAAAGCTATCCTCCCTTGTCTGAAAGACAAGAAAGACTCGGCGGGGAGGCACTGCACGGCAGTCATCGACCTTGGTAAGCAAAACCACAGCAAAAGCAA